GTAGGTACAAACTCACCTGTCTTAACCCATTGCAACTCCATATATTCCTTGTAAATCCTTTCTAAACTGGGCAACATTTCTTATCACTCTTACAAGGCTGGTGCAAGCCTCTGTGCGTACATTTCTGGGCCATGGGGTTTGGCCAGATGGACCCTCTAACCCAAAACACATCATACCAGTATGCTATGTGAACTGGAGAAACCCTGTGCGGCACCAAGCCTACTTGCAATGCTTCAACAGATACTTAAGAAATGGCGGTTTTGGGAACTTTTTGAAAAACAATGGGCCAAACTCACTGCCCACCTGCCCAAGGAGACCACATCCCAGCACAGCTTGTGCTCCACTAGCAGAGAGACATTGGGTTGGGAAGGGTCAGAGGAGAGGACTTGAGAAATGGGTCCATTGTGCCCAGAGTATTTTTTTTTCTCTTGACTGCTTGCAAAAGAGAAGGGCAGGAGAGGTTCTGCCACCACCCGGGGAAAGTCGTTCCTTCCCTAGAGGTGGTTGCCTATGGGAGGTCAAACCAAGTTGCCTTTGGTGATGTCTAGGTAGGGTGGGTCTTGTGTGGCAGCAGATTAGTGTTTGGGACAATAAAACCTTCATGGGTGTTTAACACTTGCTCACATGGACATCTATGAATCTTGCCTCTGCTCCTCTCCTTCAATGATCGCATCAAGTGGTGATGCTCTCCATCACCCTCATCAGGAGGTGGCAGTTACACCTCGTGTGTCTAAACCAACAGAGAAAACACCGGGTGCAGGGCTTCTTCTGGGTGAGGTGGGGAGGGCAATACCTCTCCCTGGTCTCCTGCCCTGATTATAAGCTCTCTGCAGCAAGGACCTCACCACCTCCTGTAGGCTTTTACACTGCCTTGTGCAACCAAACCTTCCACCAGATGTGGCTCTGATGTTGATCACTGCTACCGAAAATAGGTCCAACAGACCCACAGTGGTCCTTAACTGGGAAAGTCGAAGCCTGCTTTAAAGACACCTCTAATTCACTCTTCGTATCTATCTTATGCAACAAGTGAAGCACGCATCCCATGGAAAAATGACTCGTGGAATGTGAAAACGTATCATATATGCAAGGAGAGAGCTATGGCTGCACGCCCATAGGGTTGCTTCTCCTCAAGGGACTGAAAGGTGCGCAGCAGAGACCTCGGGGTAGGTGAGCCGCACTCCCCCGCAATGCGGTGACAGCATTTCCCGAGGAAAGGTGACGGGAAGGAAGCGGGGACGGGCGCTGTTTATAGCACTGCCGGACGTCAGCGTTATTTCGCATGAGAAACAAAAGGTGCTTCGCTAGCCCAAGACATGGCCCCTTCTGAATGTCACCATCAGGGAGGGGAGAGGACCCCGCATGTGCTGTGGTGGGGGAACTGGTATCATTTATAAGACCAGTTGGAAAAAAATAGGCAGATTTCTGGGTACCAGTGTGGTACCAGCCAACCTGCACGTCAGCTACAACCAGGCAAGGCCAGCTGGACCCGTGCATCGTGCAGAGGTCAGCCTGGGGTTGACTCTTCAACCCAAGCCAGATGTCCCCTTGTGAGCAGTGACTCCTGCGCATAGCAGGAGGATGCCCACCATGGTCATAGAATCATACAATCATAGAATGTTTTGGGTTGGAAGGGACCCCCAGAGGCCATCTAGCCTAACCCCCCTGCAATGAGCAGGGACATCTTCAACTCCATCAGGTTGCTCACAGCCCCATCCAACCTGGCCTTGAATGTTTCCAGGGATGGGGCCTCCACCACCTCTCCGGGCAACCCCTGCTAGGGTTTCACCACCCTCATTGTAAACAATTTCTTCCTTATAGCCAGTCTAAATCTACCCTGGTTTAGTTTAAAGCCATTACCCCTTGTCCTGACACAGCTGGCCCTACTAAAAAGATTGTCCCCACCTTTCCTCTGGGCCCCCTTGAAGCCCTGAACGGCCGCACTCAGCTCTGCCCGCAGCCTTCTCTTCTCCAGGCTGAAC